AGAGGTTGCTAATTCTTTCCCAAACGACCTTAGCTGGAATTGGTGTAGATTCTGCAGATAATATGCTTTATATGTTTTTGGTTTTTTGGTAGCTTACAGCCTTTCACCATTCATGTTCCTTCTTGGGATGGGTGGGTGCTGCTTGTTCCTTGCCCTTTATTATTTTTCCAATCATCCAAGGAAAAGGAAGGAAGGTGTACCATGTTTTTCTTATGCAAATTAACTTGTTATGTTGCTACTTATGTTGGAATTCTTCAGTGTGGAAACAGGCAATGGAAGTTCTGCTAGAAAGAAGGCCCTCATTGTAAATCTTATATGTTCTTGTAGAGAAAAAGAAGTGAAGTTTCTTATTCGAACACTGGTAAGATTTTGTGATATTCTTTTGGGACAATTATATGGGTTATTAATATTGGGCTTCTATGGGTTTCTCCTTTTCCTAATTGATCTTCTATGGGTTTTTATGTGCAGTATATATGCATCTGAGAAATAAGGCAATCAACTTCCTAGTATTTTAATATTGAAATAATGTTGCTTGGGATGCAACTGGCTTTACTAGAGGACAAAAATCCAGAATAGGCATGGGGTGAACAATGTTATAAAGGAAGATTTTTTTTTTCTTTTTTTAAGCTCCCCACCAGGCTTATATAAAGAAGGTCTTGCCCTCCCTGATTTCCTAAAATTAGGGAGCTTTCATTCATGGTAGACAGATAGTGGATCAGGTCCTAATTGCCAATGAATGTGTTGAGGAGAAGAAAAGGAAGAGAGAGAAGGGGTTAGTGTGCAATTAGACCTATAAAAGGCCTATAGCTTGGTAAACTTGACCTTCCTCCTGGAAACTTTGGGTAAATTTGGTTTGGGGGAGAGATGGTGTGACTGGATTAAGGGGTGTATCTCTTCTTTTCGTTTCTATATTGTGGTCAGTGATGGGGTCAAAGGAAACCAAATTTCACCCTTCCTATTTACCTTAGTTGTAGAAGTGTTAAGCATGATGATTGCAAAAGCTTGGGTTGGTGGTTACCCAAGTACAATTTGCCGATGACATCATTGTGTTCTGTGAAGAGGAAAACGAGGAAGTGATGGGGAACCTAAAATCAACAGGTTCAAACCTGGAGAAGAGCTGTATTGTGGGTATTAATATGTCAGAGGAGGATCCAGGTGCTTGTGCAAAATAGTTGGGATGTGAGTTAAGATCTTGACCCATGTGTACCTAGACCTTCCCTTAGGATAATCCTACAATGCTAAGTTTTTGGAACCTGTCTTGGGAAGGTTTATACCAAGATGTTGGGTCTCTGGAAAAGGAATTACATTTCATTGGGAGGTAAAATTACCTTGATCAGAACCACTTTAGCCAACTCGCCAGTTGTCACTCTACTTCCTATCTACACTTGGGTTACTTGCCAATGTGGCAAGAAAACTGGAAAAATGTCTGGGAGACTTCTTGTGGGAACCAGGTGAAGGGAAGGAAGATCACCTAGTGAAATGGGACATGGTATGTAGAAGTAGGGACCAGGCCCACCAAGGTGGTCTAGGCATAGGTAATCTTGTGGAGAAGAATGTGGCATTACTGAGAAAATGGCTCTGGAGATTCCCTCTTGAACAGGAAAGCTTGTGACACAGGGTTATAGTGAGCATACATGGTATGTTGGATACTAGTTTGGACACTAGGGTATCCTACCAGGCCTCTTCAGCTTCCCCTTGGAAGTCCATTCACAATTTACTATCAGTCTTCTTGTCTTTTCTAAGGTATGATGTTGGGTGTTGCAACAAAGTTAGATTTTGGGAGGACTTATGGCTAGGGGACTCCACTCTTAAGGACCAATTTCCTTCACTTTATTCTCTCTCCCTTTACAAGAATGAACCCATCTCAAATTTCATGGACTTATGTCTTCTCATGGACTTAGGTTTCAGTTGGGGCCTTAGGGAGGGGGAAAGCTCGATAGTTGTTGAGTTTCTCTCAATAATTGATATTCATGTGGTACTATATAGAAGTACCAAACAACACTTTGTTGTATTAAGCTCTCCTGGAAGTTACAAATTCCTGTACAAGTTGCTTCTCCCAACACCTCCTCTAGCCAAACTAATTAGCTAATGAATTGGCTTATATCTAGATCCAGATGAACTTGGATGTGTGCTCTGGATTCCAAAGTTCTAGCTGCTTTATATGTTGTTGAAAGAGACCAAGGGCCCATCTCGCCCATTCTCTCTCATCAAACTAATAACCAAGGGCCCTTTTCTCAAAAAAAAAAAAACTAATAACCACCTAGAAATTCCATGAACTCATGATAAACCAAAGGAGTGCATCAGAGGAAACCATTGAAATAGCATCGAGGTCTCTGTTCAGGCAGTACCTCCAGACTCAATAAGTGTCCTTGTCAAAATAATATCCTCCTGATCTCTAAGGGCTTCCCATACTCTGAGAGTTTCAGGGCTTCCAAAGGAGCCATCAAAGTTGAGCCTGTCTATTCATTTTGGGGAGGGGGCAGAACTTTGTAAGTATGTGGGTCAGGTATCTTCAGATGATACTACTTATAACCACAGTTTTCATTCAGAGTAAATTTGACAATGTTGTACCTTTTKGGAACATTTGTTGGAAAGATGTGGTCATATGATTATGTAAAGTAAAAGTAATATAATATGCATTTTGGTTTTAGTGAAATGGGGTAAAACAGAAAATATCAAATCCACATGCCATGATTGTATCTTTCAATATTGACTCTTTCTTGACTTTGCAATAGTGTGTATTTTGTTTTACTAAATCAGTGGGTTCAATGATTTAGGGCATCAATGGAATTTTTTTGAACAGTAAAAAATAAAATTCATTAAAAAAAGAAAAAGAAAATACACCCTAAAGAGGTGGCGAGGCAACACCTCCAGAAAGAGCTAAGAGCAACAGGCACCCAAAGCCCAAAACAAAAGACCCCCAAACATCTTACAGATCCAAACCTCCCAAAAAACAGAAGAAGCCAGTAACCAATACTTGAAACATCCCCTTGGGCAAAACAAGCTGAATCTGTGAACTAAGATGAAAAAGCCACAGACGTCCAAACCTCTCCTTCTCACCTGCTTCAATACCAATGTTTCCCCTCACTCTTCATCAACAATGTCTAATTCCTCTCCTTCACCTTCCTCTCAAGCCTCGCTCCCTTCCCCAGCTGCATTCCTCTTGTTAATTTCCTGTCTTCTATTCTGCTCAAAATGTTTGATTGCCTTCCTTACCACCGCTTCTCCCCACAAAAAGAAAAGGCCAAGAGATTTCTCAACTGCCACCTGTCTGTCAACTTTTTTATCAATGTCGGTTTTTTCTTTCTCAGAGATATTTAACTTGGGGAATTCTTCAGCTTTTTTCCTTCCTGTCTCCCTCTCCCCCTCTCTACTTTCCTCTTGGATCTTGACCTGAACTCTTCCTTTTCCCTCAATCTTCCCTCCTCTGTCATCAAGCTTCATTTTCCTCCCTCTCTCCTGTAGGTGCTTTCTCACTCTGATTACTTGAATCGATGTCCTGAGCCTTCTTGCCTTAGTCAGCTTCTGAATGACTCAGATAGTTCTGAGTTCTGTATTTAAAACTGATACTTTCTCTTCTTTTTTGAGGGTGGATTTCTTTTTTTTTTTGGGGAGGGGGGGGGGCTAAAGTTAACATACTGGTACATTATCTCATGTACAGTTTCTTTTGACTTAATGAACATATACTTTACCTTTTCCAAAAAAAAAAAAGATATTCTTAACAAATAACAATACATGTGTCTATTTTATCATTTAAGTTACTTTGATCTAATTAGAAATAATRCCTTTGTATCACTGTATTTTTGTAAAAGATATATTCTTGGGAAAATATATAACTGGGGTATGAGTTCCAAAATACATAGGGCAGGTTCGATAGATCTGAAATGCATGAACTGGAGTAAAAGCAAGATCTTCTGCAACAATGAATTCCATATTTCACAATTATTCATTGTTTTGTTAATTTTCAGTCATAAATTCACTTTTTATGTAGTTTTTTTTGTCTGAAAATCTGTTTCAAGTGCAGGTTCGTAATTTGCGAATTGGGGCCATGATGAGAACTATTTTGCCAGCATTAGCACAAGCTGTTGTACTAAACTCATTCTCCAGTCCTCTTGGTGAAGGAACACTTGGAAACCTAAAGGGGAAACTTCAGGTTTGATGCATATAGCTTCAGTATTTTTTTTTTTTTTTTGAGAAAAATTTAACCAGGATTCATTAAAGGAAGAAGAGGTACATGAGAAGATGTACAAAGCAGGGGAAGAACCCCTACAAATTACAAAGGAGGAAGCTTGTCGCTATACAAATGCTCCAAATACACACCACATTTGGCTAAGCCATCTGCTGTATGATTGTGTCCCCTAGGAATCCAAACTAATTTTACAAGGGGTAAGCATCTCTATTGAGATCATTGACTGAGAGTCCTTTGAACAGATTGTCAAAGAGGCATTTGTTTCTTTCATCCCAAACTCCCCACAAGACTGCATGTAGCACTGATTGTCAATAAACTTTATCCCTTTTACTTAAACCTGTTCCTTGCCATTGATGCAAAAAGTCCATAATGTGCTCTGATATAACCCAGTTGTGACCAGCCATTTTAAAGAAATGGAAACAAATCTTTTGGGTGAACTTGCAGTGAAGAAAAATGTGATCTGCTGATTCACCTTCACTGAAGCATAAAATGCAAACATGAGGAGAGATGGACAGTCTTCCCAAAAACTTTTTTCTGCAAGAGATCACAAGTATTTAATTTCTGGAGACAAGCTTCCCAGACAAAGAAACAAACTCTTGAAGGGATGTGGCTGCACCAGATCTTCTTAAAAGGAAAGGAGGAATGCTGTTCATCAGCAATCAAAACCTTGAACAAAAGACTTAGAAGAGACTTTGCCAGTAGGGTGAAGGGTCCAGATTCGGTTGTCAGAATAGGAGGGGGAGATGTAGGCTTCTTTAAAGGTCTGAATTAAGTCTATTAATTCCGAAATCTCCGAATCCCTTAGATCTTCTGAGTTGAAGGTTTAGGGTGTTCTCAACAGTTTGGTCTGGAAGGCAGGAAGAAATAGTGGGTTCTTGGTCAAGGGTAAGGTTAAAAAATCTAGGGAAAGAGGCTGCAAGGGTAGTTTCCCCCCACCAAAGGTCTTTCCAGAATTTTATTTTAGAGCCATTTCCCACTTTATATCTTATAAAAGCAAAGAAAGATGTATGGGTGGAGATGATACCTTTTCCAAGGATTTGTGGACTTTATCCTGTTCAAATGGAGATTGCTAACCCACCCATTTACATTTAATCCATATAGCTTCAGTAATTAATTTGCTGATTTAACCAATCACTCTATCTTACACTAATGAATTTTTCCCTTGTCAGTACTAGTTGTTGATGGAATAGTTTTGGTATTCTCTCTCTCTCTCTCCCCAACCCAATAAAAATTAGAAGACAACTTAATAGAAGGTTTTAAGTTTTAACATCATCACCATAGCTTATACAAAACAACTATGATTGAATAAATAATTCTAGCTTCTTTATATGCTTTATATTGTATGGTGTCTCACCAGCTTGTTCCATTCCCTTTCTAGCTTGAGATTTAAAAGTACATAGATTCTCCATCTCAGCATGCTCAGTATTTCATCTGATTGGGCTAGTTTTGGCTTCCCTTGGATGAGCTCTGGTTTTCCTTGTTTCCTTGTTTCTTTCATTTTTGATGGGTAACTTAAAACTTCATTAGTTAAGAATATGCATATTAGTATAGCTGCCAAGCAGCATCAAGTGGTAACGTCAGTTTCCTGATCCTATTTCCATTACTTTTTTTCACAAAAGACTGGTTTAAAAAATCCCTTTTCTTCTTGTTTGTATGTGATCATGAAACCCCCAGAAAAGCTGATTCTTATTAAGACCCAAGGTTCAAAGTTTCGGTACAGCTCTGTGTATTGGCAGGGGTGTATCGGTTCTTTGAATGTTACTCCTTTTTTTTTTTAGTTCTTTTTTTTCCAAGTTCCAGTTTTAAGTATATTTATATATCATAGTTTTTAAGGTGCCAACGCGAGGCTAGGCGACAGGAGGGCGCCTTGTCGCCTAGTCGCCTAGGCGATGGGTTTTTTTTTTTTTTTAAGTAAAGCCATATATCCTAGGGTAGCTCCCTAGGTTCCATAACCATCTTTCCTTAATAGTTATCCATAATTTTCATAAGTATAAATTTCATGTTTTAATTTTAGAAAATCAACATTTTATGAGAAGAAAACAAACAAAGGAAAGAAAATTCAAAAAAATACAGGGGATGAACCCCTAGTTTTGTTATAGGAAAAGAAGAAAAGGAAAGGTGGAAGAAGAAGAACTGTAAGAAGAAAATGTGTTGATTAGACAAAATGTTAAGTTCTTCCCTTGCTTATCAAGTTCAGGTTCTGAAATCTTTGAGGATCCAATCAGATGAAAACTTCGATATGATATGCCCCGTATCGGGTGTATTGTATTGTATCTTTGGCGCCCCAATACACATGTTTACAGGTGTTTTCGGGAACCCATTTTTTAAAATAATATATATATATATATAT